GTGTCTCTTCATTTCACTTCTCTGAGTCTTAGTTTCTTCACTGCTAAAACGGGCTTAATACAGCATTGTGAGAATGGACTTTTTAATAAATGATATTGGGACACCTTAATAATTATTTAGAAAAAGGAAAAGTTGGGTCCACACTTATCTACAACATATGGCAGTATACATTTTAAATGGATCCAGAACTTAACTTTTTTTTTTTTTTGAGATGGAGTTTTGCTCTCGTTGCCTAGGCTGGAGTCCAATGGCGTGATCTTGGCTCACCACAGCCTCCACCTCCCGGCTTCAAGCAATTCTCCTGTCTCAGCCTCCCGAGTAGCTGGAATTACAGGCATGAGCCACCACGCCTAGAAAATTTTGTATTTTTAGTAGAGATGGGATTTCTCCATGTTGGTCTGGCTGGTCTCAAACTCCCGACCTCAAGTGATCCACCTGCCTTGGCCTCCCAAAGTGCTGAGATTACAGGTATGAGCCACTGCACCTGGCCAGAACTTAACTTTTTTTTTTTTTTTTTTTTACAAAAGGTACCACTAAATGATGAAAAACTTACAGAGACAGATGGCGGGATGTTTGCACAGCAACGTGAATGTACTTAATGCCACCAAACTGTACACTTAAAAATGGTTATGTTGGCCTAGTGTGGTGGCCACCATGCCCAGCCTAATCACACCTGTGATCCTAGCACTTTGGGAGGCTGAGGCAGGAGGATTGCTTGAAGCCAGAAGTTCAAGACCAGCCTAGTCAACATAGTAAGACCCTATCTCTGAAAATACATATTTTTTTAAGTTAGAAAAAAAATGGTTCAATTCTATTGTTGAAACAAAAAAAAAAAAAGGCTAAAATTGTAAATTATATGTGATGTATATTTTACCCCAGTAAAAAATAAACTTTGGGCACAGTGGCTCATGTGTGTAATCCCAAAACTTTGAGAGGACGAGGTGGGAGGATCTCTTGAGCCCAGGAGTTCAGGACCAGCCTGGGCAACAGAGTGAGACTCCCTCTCTAAAAACAACAGAAAATTAGCTGGATGAGGTAGCACCAGCCCATAGTCCCAACTGCTCAGGAGGCTGAGATGGGAAGATCACTCGAGCCTGGGAGGTAGAGGCTGCAGTGAACTGTGATTGTACCACTGCACTCCAGTCTGGACACAAAACAAACAAATAAACAAATCAAAATTTAAAAATTATGCTAGGTATGGTGGCTCACACCTGTAACCCCAGCACTTTGGGAGGCCAAGGCAGGTGGATCACCTAAGGTCAGGAGTTCAAGACCAGCCTGGCCAACATGGTGAAACCCCGTCTCTACTAAAAATACACAAATTAGCTGGTGTGGTGGCACATGCCTGTAATCCCAGCACTTTGGGAGGCTGAAGTGGGTGGATCATTTGAGGTCAGGAGTTCGAGACCAGCCTCACCACCTGGCGAAATCCCGTCTGTATTAAAAACACAGAAATTAGCCAGGTATGGTGGTGGGTGCCTGTGATCCTAGCTACTCGGGAGGCTGAGGTGGGAGAATCACTTGAACCCAGGAGGCAGAGGCTGCAGTGAGCTGAGATGGCACCACTGCACTCCAGCCTGAACAACAGAGCAAGACTCTGTCTCAAAAATAAATAAATAAAATTAAAAAGATAATAATAAAAGTGTGTGATTAGTAACAAAAGCTTAGTATGGAAAGAATGCAGTTGAGTTAGAGGAACAACACCATGAGAAACGTAGAGACTCCTGGAGACCCCCACAGCTTCTCAGGAGGCTCATGCAGCATCAGAGGACCCTTAGTGCAGTATGTGGGCTGGGACAAGGGAAGTACCTTTCCTATCCCTGGGGATGTCTTTCTGCAAACATCCTGGGGGTGTGGGGCATTGTTGCTACTGTTGTTGTTGAATTGTTTCTTGGCAGCTATTTCTTCAGTCAGGTTGCAGGCGTCACTGTGGCTGGCTGCCCCAGAAGACCATGTAGGTCTCAGCAAAGAGGGGTCTCCCAGGTGGTCAGTGCAGGACTGGCATGTGGGGGTAAGAGATGGCCCAGGAAAGCTCCCCCTCACTCTACAGCAAGAGGCCACTGGGCTGCTGCCTAAATCCCCAGCCACGCGGTGGCAAGGATGACACTGGAAGACCTCCCTGCACTTGCTCCTGAGTCCCACCTGAGCTGAGAAAACAGGTTTCCCAGAACCTGAAGTGGGCAGATGCGGCGGGTGCCCTGGGGGACCCTAGGTTGCCCAGGCCTGAGACTCTTCCTGCAGCGCTCAGAGGAGGGTGGGGCTTAGGGACCCAGAAGCATGGCAAGGGACTCGCCCTCCCCTCCGAGGGACTCCAGACGGGTCTCCTCTCCAGCCTGTCCTCCACCTGTGGCAAGAAGCAGAGGCAGCTTCCCCAGGGGCCAGCCCCACCTAAGGATCCCTCACAGGACTCCTCCGGCCAGTTGTGCTCTGACCCCATCCTGGGCACTCTTGCTGTGCTCCCCAGCAACCACCAGCTGGGGCTTTAGAAGGGGGCTGGGCCCACCCACAGAGGCTGTGGTCAGTAGCCACTCATCCCCATTTTTTTTCTTTTTTGAGACAGAGTCTTGCTCGTTGCCAGGCGCCAGGCTGGAGTGCAGAGGTGTGATCTCGGCTGACTGCAACCTCCACCTCCTGGGTTCAAGCAATACTCCTGCCTCAGCCTCGAGAATAGCTGGGACTACAGGCGCGCACCACCACGCCCAGCTAATTTTTGTATTTTTAGTAGAGATGGGGTTTCACCATGTTGACCAGGATGGTCTCGAGCTCTTGACCTCGTGATCTGCCCGCCTTGGCCTCCCAAAGTGCTGGGATTACAGGCATGAGCCACTGCGCCCGGTACTCATCCCCATTTTTACATTACTGATTTGCCTGTTTTGTTTTTTGAGACAGGATCTTACCACGTCACCCAGGCTAGAGTACAGTGGCAAAATCATGGCTCACTGCAGCCTCGGCCTTCCAGGTTCAAGCCATCCTCCTGCCTCAGCTTCCTGAATAACTGGGGCTACAGGCACATACCACCACACCCGACTAATTTTTGCCATTTTTTTGTAGAGATGGAGTCTCATGATATTGCCTAGGCTGGTCTGGAACTCTTGAGCTCAAGCGATCCTCTTGGTTTGGCCTCCCAAAGTGCTGGGATTACAGGCTTGAGCCACCGTGCCCAGCTGGCCTTAAATTTTTTTATTTGTAGAGACGGGGAATAGGGAAAGGGAGGTTTCGCTATGTTGCCCAGGCTGGTCTTGAACTCCCTGCCTCCAGCGATCCTCCTGCTGGGCCTCTCAAAGCGCGGGGATTGCAGGTGCGCGGTGGGCCAGAGGCCCCCTCTGGCAGGAGAGGAAGGCGTGGCCGGGGGCGTGGTCGCGGGCGGGGCGGCATGACGTGCGCGTCGCGGATCCCGGAAGCGGTGTCAGATGCTGGGGAACCGGGAGGGCGGGCGCGGTGGCGGCGGGCGGCGGGGGGGGGCTTGTTGTTCTTCGCAAAGTCTGAGCCCGAGCGCCAGGCGGCGGCGGCGGCTGAGGGGAGCGCCAGAGTGAGCGCCGGCGCGAGGACAGCGCGTGCCCGCGAGGAGCCGCCGCGCGCCCGCGCCACCCGCGCGACGCCAGGTGAGGGGCGGCGGGGCGGCCGGGCAGCCGGGAGGGGTCGCGGGGCCGGGCCTCCTGGCCGCTGAATCACAGTAGCCCCCGGCGCGGGCCGGGGGTGGCGGGGCCGGGTGCGCAGGGCCCGAGACTCCTATGCGGCCCACGGGGCGGCCCGCGCACCTGCTCAGGTGGGTCCCGCCCCGCAGGCCAAGGGGGCTTCCCCGGGCCCGGCGCCGGGATGCGAGGCTCCCACCCCTGAGCGTGCCTCCCGGGCCATGCTTGTGGTGCCCGGGGCCCTGGGGCGTGGACGCCAGACTTGGGGGAACGGGGGCCCCCGTGGGGAGGGGGCGCGCACCGGGCCCGCGCCTTCACACCTGCGGGGGGAGGGGCGGGCGCCACGTGCGGGCGGCGCGGGGAGGGCGCGGGCGCGTGGATTCCCCGCGGCTTCCGCCCCAGCGTGGCTTCCGCGTGCGCCCTGGCCTGCCTCCCGCGCTTCCTCCTCGTGACTGGCGGCGCTTCGGCCCAATGGCAGGGCCCACGCGCGCCCGGTGACGGGCTAGGGGTAACCGAGTCTCCCCAGAGGCGGGGTTCTGGGACTGGTGTAGCTCTCAGCCGCCCACCTGCGGGGGGGTGGGGGAAGGAAGACCTTGCGGGAGGCTAGAGGGGGCAGGTGACAGTGGCCCCAAGGCGCGTATCCTTTTGCCCACTTGTGGGGCAGGGGCTCAGGCCTCTTCCAGCTCCCACTGCATGGGTTCTTCTGTGCCTCTGTCAAGTTCAGGAAACTGTGTATGTGCCTGTGACTGTGTGTGTGCGTGCGCGTGCGTGTGTGTCTGCACAGCCTCTAGATCCGGGGGCGTGGGAGGAGGTGCCACCGAGGAACCCAGAAAGCCAGGACCTGGCCTGGCCTTGGCCCTTAACCTGGGTCTGCCTGGGGCACAGTAGTGGCCTTGAGCTGTGTGTGCTGTGTTCTCATGCTCTTGCCCGGTGTGTTCTCGGGGCCTCCTGTGTGCCTCTCTCTGGTCCTGTGCCCCTGAGCATGCTGTTGCTTGCTTCTTAACGCGGCTTTTGTAGCCGAGGCAGAAATCAGATCCACTGCACCATTCATTCATCAAGTGACCCACAGGCAGCCAGCCACTCTCTGGCCAGGTGCCTGGCCTTGGGAAGATCCTGAGACTCAAACCTCCCACCCACTGCCGGACACTGTGGGTTAGGGATATCTGTGTGGGATAGGGATATCTGTGTGGGCTCCGGCACAGCCCTTCTTGCCCCTCTGATTCTCCAGGGTAGGCTTCTAGGTTTCTGGACTGGCGTTGAGGTTTTAGCGTGTGTTGTAAAGGGATCTCCAAGACAGGGGGGTGCATGGTGCAGCTTCTCCAAGCCCAGCATCTTCAGGGACTTGGAGTGTTAAAAGAGCTGTGGGTGGGGTCTGGAGAGTGTGGGTGGGCTGTGCAGGTGGCTGGGACACACCTGCACCCTGTTTGGGCATCAGCACCATTTATGAGACCGTCTCCCCTCCTTAGGTAACCCAGCAGGAATGTGTGAGTTTGACCTTGGTAGAGGGAGTCTACTTTTAAAACTAGACCTCTCATTATTCCAAAATAAGCCATTTATTCAAGCAAAAACACAAACCAGGCTTCTCCTGCCTTTTAGCCTTGAACTCAACCAGGGCTTTGAGGGGCTGGTTCCCTGCAGTGTTGTTGACTCCCCAGGTGCCAGTAAACGGGGGGAGCCAGTGTTTACCGAGGGTCAGGGCTGTCGGGGTGCCAGCCTTTCTGTGCGCCTGGGAGGCTGCTGTGTTGGGCCACTCTGTGTCTACAAGGCGCGTGCTTTCATCCACGGGGCTCGCCAATGGCTGCAGCGTTTGTTTACAGTCACCGGCAAAAGCTGTTTACCACCCAGACCTAGAAGAAGTTGTGCCTGTTCCTGTCCCAGCTGTTTCTGAGTCTAAAGGTTTCTGGAGTGGACTTTCTGGGTTTCGGGTCCAGTCCACACGGGAAATGGAAATCTGGCCAGCTGGGAGAACGCTCTGTGTGGCTGCCTCTCCACAGTAAACAGTGACTCACCGCTCCGTCCCCACCCTCCTTGCTCTCCGAGAATGGAAGATGCTTTTCCCTGCTATTTATTTTTGCTTTTTATAAGTCACAGACTCGTCATGTTTCCGCTTTCCTGCAGTTTCAGGAAACTGGGAGTGTCGTCTTAAAATCGGAGTTTAGAGCAGGTACACATGAACCTGAGTGGCTACACACCCCACCCTGACCGGCCACTCTAGATGAGGAAACCCAGGCCGTGACATCTGCTGGCCTGGCCCCAGGGCTGGTGGGGTCTGGTCTAGAGCCTGCCTGCTTCTCCACGCTGTGCTTCGGGCACGTTGGGGAAAGTATTGGGGTGGAGGCTGCTCTCTCCCTGCCCTCCTGTGCGGGGCTGGCTCATCTCTTGCAGCGGGGGCTCGTGTAGGGTGTAGGGAAGACATGCTCCCTACTTCAAGGAGCTTACCATGCTGTGGGGAGGCCCCCTGTCCCCAGAAGGATCTAGAACCAGGCCTTGGTAGAGGGTGTTTGCCTTCATGAGGACAATGGAGAGTGTTTCTGGAAGAAGCAGGGCTTGAGGGTGGGCAGGAACCATGTGCTCAGTGCAGATGGTGGGGGGATCAGAAACCTGCCATGGCTTTGGGACGGAGGAGTTGGGGTTCCAGAGGAACCCCAAGCCTGTGTTGCTGCGTGTGGGGCGCCAGGATCAGGGTGAGGGCATCCCATTTGGCCAAAGCTGTGGTCTAGACAAGAGAAGTTGGAGGCCCGAGCCAGGGCAGGTGCCATGGGTTCGGGCAGGCAATGCTTGGGGATTGGGATCAAGCCAGGTCGGTGAGTGGACAAGGAAAGGAGAGAGGGTTGGGGCCACACCATTGAATGATGCAGTTGGGGGCTGGGGGGGTGCGTCTGGGCCCCCTGAAATGCCCCTGGTTGTACTTGGAGGCTGGAGGAGCTGGGTAAAGCCCCAGGGCGGTTGGGGAAGAACAGGATGCTGATGGGGAGCAGAGGCCGAGGACAGGAGGATGGTATGGGAGCTAGGGCAGGGACTGGAGCGGGTGTGTTCTGCAGTTTGCTCTCTGCTGCTGCAGCTGCCTGAGTCACCTCTGGATGTAGTGGGATGACACAGCTTCCTCAGACTACAAATGCAAGGTGACCAGACGTCCTCCAAGTGGGTCTGACAGTTGTGGCTTGCTGGAGGGCGGCCAGCCAGGGCCAGGCTGCGAGCTGGTGTGGGCCAAGCTAGGGGTGCCAAGCAGGGTGCCTCCTGCATGCTGAGGGGGGCTGTGTCCAGAAAAGCTGGACCGTGGGGACTCTCGCAGTCTAGGACCTCATCCTCAGTAAGATGGGTGTCTGGCTGGTCTCTGGGACCAGCCAGGGCTGCAGTTAGTCGGTTGATACCTGTTTGACAGGCGCCCACTGGGTACCAGCACCACAGTGGCCCCACCCACCCTTGTGGCCCACTGTGTGGGGTGCCTGCCTTGGAGTCTGTTGCTGAAAGGCTCCCGGTAGAGGCCGGCACACACTGGGTGGCCTCTGGTTTTGTGGATTGCACCTGTCGTGGGAGCCATGGGTGAGGGAGGGTGGGAGGACAGCTGCTGATGTGCCGCTGGATGAACCCGAGCCTCTCGCACAGGATGTTCATCCTCCGTTCCTGGGTCGCCTCTGGCCCCTCCTCCCTCTCCTGCATCCCACATCCTTCTAGATCCACAGATAATGAAAATGGAAGGACCACTCTGTCTCAGTCAGACTGGCTGGATGGCTGAGCGGATGGAGCATGGTGTCTCCGTTGTCATTCACCCCTTGGGAAAGAGCAGGTGACCCGTCCAGAGCCCCTGTGCTGGCCTCAGAGAGTGAGTGGTGGCCCCGATGCATCCTGTCATCCAGGAAGAATCAGAGCCCCGAAGCTTTGAAATCCTGTCTCCATGGGCATCCTCACCTGGGACTGTTCAGAGGGGTCATCCAGCCCTCACCTGCCCTACTCACTTTGTTCTCTCTCTTTTTTTTTTTCTTAAGAGACAGCGTCTTGCTCTGTTACTCAGGCTGCTGGAGTGTGGTGGTGCAATCACAGCTCACTGCAACCTTGGCTTCCCGGCTCAAGCAAACCTCCTACCTTGGCCTCCTGAGTAGCTGGGACCATATGCGTATGCCATCACACCCGGCTATTACAAAATTTTTTTTCTTTGTAGAGATGGCCTAGCTATGTTGCCCAGGCTAGTCTAAAACTACTAGGCTCAAGCATTCGGCCTCTAGAGGTGTTGAGATTCCAGGCACGGATTACCGTGCCCAGTCCCAACTTTATGGATAAAGTGTTCCCTCCTGGACCCCAAAGGTGGTCCTTCTCAGCTTGTGCCAGCACACCAAGAGATGTCAGGGCTGTCAACTCCCCACTGAGCAGGGTCAGACCCATGGGTGACCAGTGAATATTTGCTGGGATTTAAAAAGTTAAAAATGGCTGGGCATGGTGGCTCACACCTGTAATCCCAACACTTCGGGAGGCTGAGGCGGGAGGATCACTTGAGCCCAGGAGCTTGAGACCAGCCTGGGCAACATGTTGAGACCCTGCCTCTATAAAAAAATTTAAAATTCTCTGGGCATGGTGGTGCCCACTTGTAGTTCCAGCTGCTTGGGAGGCTGAAGCAAGAGGATTGCTTGAGCCCAGGAGGCCTGCAGTGGGCCATAATCGCACCACTGCACTCCACCCTAGGTGACAGAGCGAGACCTTGTCTCTAAAGTGAAAATCAGAAGGTAAAACATGACTCCGGTTGCTGAGGTGGCTGCCTGGGCTCACCTGCTCCTGAGACGGCAGTTCTGGATGGCTGGCCCTGCACTGCCTGCCCTGCCTGCTGGAGGCCTGAGCTCCAGGTCCTCATCCTCTGAGGTTCCTCCGTGGCGGAGCTGCCCTGCCCTGTGCTTTATGGAGCCCAGACCCTCGGTCTGGATCCTGAATGGAAGCGTCCCGGCTCCATCACTTATTCCCAGCTGCAGCCGCAGGAGTCACCTCTGTCTGAGGCTGCTGGCGGTTCCTTTTCCTTTATTTTTTATTTATTTATTTTTTGAGACAGAGTCTCACCCTGTCATCCAGGCTGGAGTGCAATAGCACTATCTCAGCTCACAGCAACCTCCACCTCCCCGGGTTCAGGCGGTTCTCCTGCCTCAGTCTCCTCAGTAGCTGGAATTACAGGCACCTGCCATGGTGCCTGGCTGATGTTTGTGTTTTTAGTAGAGACAGGGTTTCACCATGGCCAGGCTGGTCTTGAACTTCTGACGTCATGATCCACCCGCCTTGGCTTCTCAAAGTACTGAGATCATAGGCATGAGCCACTGTGCCCAGCCTCCTTTTCCTTTAGAGGAAATGATTTCCCCCCACTGCGCTTTGTTTAGATGTATGTCATGTTGAGGTGTCTGGCTTTGCGTTGAAAGCCCTTCCTCTTCCATCAGAAAACCAGTCACATAAAAGGTGTTCTAGGTTATAGGTACTGCTGGAGAACTTTGCTGCCAGGGATGGGGGTTGAGGGTGAGGGGGTGTGATCACTGCACCCTTTACCTAGGTCAGTGGTTAGGACCCCATAGCAGAAACTCAGACCCACCTACCCAGGCCCCCAGCTGTGGCGCTGACCACTGCGCTTCTCGGGTAACTCTACAGAAACCCAGAGGAGCTCAGGGGCATCAGGGGCATGTGTGGCAATGCTCGTGTTTTGTTAGCTGGTGGTCGTAAGACAGAATGCCAGGGCCTCGCTCCTTGGGGGTGCTGGGGAGGAGCTTGGCTGCATTGCTGACCAGGTGCTGATGCAGTAGCCCCTGCCTTGGGCCCCAGGTAGCGGGAAGCCAGCGTTGCGGGTGTCTTTGGGACCCCAGGCACGTTCTCCCCCTGGCGTCATACCCTAAGGCTGCATCTCTGGCCCTGGGGAGGGAGCCGTTTCTACGTGTGCTCTGGCAGCCCTTGAGGCTGTGTGAGGTCGAATGGTTCACAAAACCCCTTTTTAGGGCAGTCATCATTTTTAGATGAGTTGCTTTACAAACTTTTTTGCACACGCAAAACTCTTCTCTAAATCTCCTTGCAAAAGCAAGCTGTTGATTTTCTTGCCTCTGATGTTTAAGGCGACTTTAGGTTAATGCTACTTGGATTTATCTTGTGCATCGTGGGGAGAGGTAGGCGCCAGCAGCATCCCATCCGTGCTGGGTTCCGAGAGAAGCTTTGACACTTGGCTGGCCCGTCCCTTCTGTGTCGCCTCTCGGGAGTTGGCTACAGAGACTCGTGGCTGGTCTAGGCTTCCTTGGCAGAGCAGAGTTGTGACCTGCCCAAGGAAGTGGGGGGCAAGCTTGTGAGCACAGCGTCAGGACTGCCCAGGACCCCTGCCTCCCCCAGGTCTCTAGTTCCTCGGAGGGAACCAGTGCAGCTGTGCCCTAAAGCACTGGGGACATAAGGGGAGCGAAGGTGTGCTCCAGCAGCCTTGGCGACCTTGACCTTGTAGAAGTCGTCAGCTACCCCTCCTGGGGTCGCAACTGGCTCCCGTGCACCCCCGTGACATCACAGGCGTCTCGGGAAGCCTCTCCTTAATGGAAGAATCTCTACGCTGAACTCTGCCCCTGGTACCTGGCCGAGCCCTGCACGTCATCATGGGTCTGGCCAGAGAGCCTTGTCCCTGGGACCTTCCTTTTCCGCCCAGCTCTCTGCCACGGCGGGCAGGGGGCCCGGGGGCCTGGGAGCCGGTCCTTGCTGGGTGGGAGGCCGGGGTGTGTGGGAATGCGCAAGGCTCTGTAAACATGTGGTGACTCACCGCATAGCTATGTCGTGGCCGGCCTGTGCACTGACGTGCTCACAGCAGAGCTGGAAGCGGTGCCCGTGGCCCCTCCCTCTGACATGGAAAAGTTTCTCATGGTGCTCTCAGCCGCCGGCATCTGCAGGTCCCCATGGTGGCTGAGGTGGCCGAGCCCCGGCTTCTCCACTGTCACACTTGCCCCAGGGCAGGTGCAGAGGGGCCTGGAGCCCACCTGGCCTTCTCCAGGACCGGCTGGTGTCGTCCTGTGCTGTCTACGTTAGCACCCTGAGAGCAGCTGGCCCTGGCAAGGGCAGCGGGCTCTGCAGCCTGGTGTGGGACCATCTAGTCTGTGCCGTCCTCTGGTTGTGGGGGTGGGTAGGGTGCAGGAGTGGAACCCCAGTCGGAGGCAGGGCTGGATGGTGGAGGGATTTGGGCCCGAGGCTCCCTGGCCCAGGGTGGGGGGGTCCTGGGCTGGCAGGGAGGGCAGGACGGGGTCACCCCCGCAACACTGCCATGTTGCCCAAGGACACCGCCCACCGCCATGTGCCACTCTGATGTTCCTTCTTCGGGAACCCGTGTCTGGTATTTGGGGTGTGGGAGTGGGTGCTGTGAACCCCTGTCCTACAAGCAGCCCCGCACCCTCTGCCTGCCTGTCCCAGCTACAGGGTACGGATGAGTTTGTTTACTGCCTGCCAGCCTCGTGATGTCTGTGCAGCCTGACCTGAAGTCAGGATCGTTTTTTGGGCTTCTCGGTTTCCATGACGACCATGGGGGCTGGCTCGATCCCAAGGTCGCCATGACAACTATCAGAGGGATCATGCCGGGGATGCTTTGGCTGGGTTTTTCATGAATGATTAGAATGTGTGACACAATGCAGACGTGAGGACGGTGGGGGCGGCGGCGGGGACGGCTCCCGCCAGACAGTCTAACACTCGGCAAGGCGGTGGCTCTCCACCTCCCTGGTCTCTGGCTGCGGCACCGGACCCGCTGCCCCTCAGGAGCCCCACACCCCCTCGGGCTGCAGGGTCCTTGCTTGGGGGCAGCTTAGGTGGAGGTGGTGATGTCACAGCCACAGCGGCTGGGGCCGTGGTAGGTGACCCGTGGCCTGCGGGGAGGGTGGGGCAGGAAGGCGGCTGGGGCCTCACCCAGGCCCACCTTGGGGGAAGCTGGCGATGGCAGGGGCTCCCCAGAGGCCTCCTCTCAGGGATCGAGGCTGCGTCTGGAGCACTGGAGTCTGCCAGGGTAGGGTCGCTGTCCAGCGGGGCCTTGGGGCCAGCACAGCCGTCTTGGGGGAGGGAGGTTTTGCCAGTGGTCACTTTGGTCTTCAGGACAGAGCACCTTGTGTCACGCAGGTGCAGATGTCTTGTCCGACCTCAGGGAGAGTCACAGCAGGAAGCAGCCACTGCTGGCGCCTGCTGGTCACCCCATAGCGCCGGCGACCACAGCTCAGATCCACAGGGCAGCAGGGGGCTGCATGTGGCTATTAGGCTCTGGGGTGGGGGTCCCAGCCACTCTTCAGACTGTGCTAGAGCATGAGGTGTGGCCAGGCCACCTCCTGGAACCCTGGGCAGAGACAGAAGCTGGACCAGGATGTCCTGGGGAGCCCCTGGGGATGGGCCGGAATGGTGCCCCATCTTATTTTCAGGGTGCTGTGATCATCCATCCCAGGCTGAGGAGGTCCCTGCATGGGAGACGGCCACCCCATCCTGCACCTCCGGCCCTGACCTGCGCTGGCTTCTCTGCTTGCCCGTGTTTTCCAGCTACGAGTTCCAGAGAGCTCTGTCCTGGTGACTTTGCCCAGGTTATGACGACTAATCCCAAACCGAACAAGGCATTAAAGGTAAGGCTGACTCCAGGCAGGCACTGGCTCCAGGCAGGCCCCGTCTCAAACACAGGCGTGGGAAAGGCCCCCCAGCTTGACACCCCGGCTTCCCAGGGCTGCCCTGAGCCTGTGATGGAGGCCTCCCTGTTGCCAGGAAGAGATGGGGTGCTGTGTCTGGGGGATGTTCACAGGAGAGGTGGGGTCAGGATCAGGGATTGTGGCCCCAGGAGATGACTCCCAGGTTGTGGGCTTGGTAGGGTCTGATGCCCACCCGACAGGGCCATGTCCCCACTGGGCACTACTGCATGAGCTCATCCCCCAGCTCCAGGTGTGAGCAGTGTGGCCTCATCCTCCCATTCCAGGTGTGGGCAGCGTGGCCTCTAATGAATGGGATGTTCCAGCTCCCAGGGCCTGAGCTCATCTGTGCCCGGTGCTTCCTGCCTCTGCAACGACACATGCCTGTGGATGGGCTCAGTCCCAGCAGCAGAACCTATGTGCTCTGGGTCCTCGCGGGGTTCTGAGGCTGTCAGTAACCAGGAGTGACCAATGTCACCACTGGCTTTTCTCATTCAGAAAGGGTCCTGTGGGGCCACAGCCATCATGTGGGCTGCCTGCGTGCATGGTGTCTTGCGGTCCGAAGGCCAGCCCCAGGAGTGCACAGGCATGCAGGGGTACTGCTGAGTCCCTGACCACGCCGGTGCTGATCCCAGGCGGGCACCCCGTGTTCTCCTGCACTGACCCTGTGCTATGGCCCCCCAGGTCAAGAAGGAGGCGGGCGAGAACGCCCCAGTGCTCAGTGACGATGAGCTGGTGTCCATGTCAGTGCGGGAGCTGAACCAGCACCTGCGGGGCCTCACCAAGGAAGAGGTGACCCGCCTGAAGCAGCGGCGGCGCACACTCAAGAACCGTGGCTACGCGGCCAGCTGCCGCATTAAACGGGTGACACAGAAGGAGGAGCTGGAGCGGCAGCGCGTGGAGCTGCAGCAGGAGGTGGAGAAGCTGGCGCGTGAGAACAGCAGCATGCGGCTGGAGCTGGATGCGCTGCGCTCCAAGTACGAGGCGCTGCAGACCTTCGCACGCACCGTGGCCCGCGGGCCCGTGGCACCCTCCAAGGTGGCCACCACCAGTGTCATCACCATCGTCAAGTCCGCCGAGCTCTCCTCCACCTCTGTACCCTTCTCGGCCGCCTCATAGTGCCTGCTAGAGGTGGGGGGCGGCGGGCAGGCGAGCAGGGTCGTGCCCCTCAAGCCTGTCACTGGGACATACTCTCAACCTCCAAGTCCAAGTGCAGGCCCTTCAGGTGCAGGCAGCTCAAGCCGGGATGAAACTGGTGCAGGGCGAGGAGTGGGCTCTGGTAAGCCCAGCGGTCCACATGCACACACACGCACCCACTCACGCCTGCCCCCGGCTCCCTGCAGGATGTGTCTGTGTGTAGGAATTGGTGTCTTGTGCACGTGAGAGTCAGGTTGGATCGATGGAAATGCCTTCGGGAAGTTCCGCTGTCCCCTGCAGGGGCTTCCAGGAGACACGGCCCTGGGAGTCAGGCCCCTGTGGCTGGGCTGGCATGTGGCTCGTCTTCCACTCCTGCTGTGAACAGCTATCAACACCTGTCCTGCCACGGCCCTCCAGCTGGTGCGGGGGCCCCTCGCTGCACTGACCAACTCCACAGCCCCCACGGAGGGGCGTGGATGGTGCATCCGTCCTTCCAGCTGTCCTGTTGGAGTGGCTATGAACTGCTTCTGCCTTAGGGGCCTGCGGGAGTGGGCACGTTGTGGGAGGCCGCCTGCGTGGGGTGGCATGTTTGCGTGCATGTGGCACGCCTGGCATCACAGCATTGGGGCTGAGGGGGGCAGCTTGTTGGCTTTCACCAAGGGAAGGCCTGTGGGCACGCATGGCAGAGAATGGCTCATACGTTGTGAGGTCTCCTCTGTGCTCTGGTGATGGGAGGAGGTCGCATAGAGCAAAAGCCCACTGCCCACGGGAGCTGGCTGCCCAGACACGGACCCTGCAGGCTGTCAGATCTTGATGGAGACAGGCAGGAGCATCCCATCAGGTGACAGTGAGCAGGACTCAGGCTCTGTGTCCTGGAGATGCTTCTCACCAGCTGTGGTCAGTGCAGGGGGAATGAGGAGGTCTTTTGGGGGCATGGGGAGGTGGTGCAGACTGGGGGATGTTGGTGGACGTGGACGTGGAGGTGGGAGGGAGGAAGTCTCGTGGAGTGGTGGAGGAGGCGGGAGCTGTGTGCAAGAGTGGGTGGAGAGCCTTCAGGGCAGGACCAGGACGAGGCTCGGTTGTAGAGGAGCTTGGGAGTGAGCGTGGCGCTCCGGAGGGCATGGCAGGCTGGGTGGTGGCAAGCACCAGGCCAGGAGAGCCTCATGGACGTGGTTCCCGTGTGCAGACCCCCAGGAGCACAGCTACGGGCTGCAGGCCCTCCACACTCAGTCCTCATCCAGAGCCTTCGCCTGCTCCTCCTTCCCAGAGCACCTAGGCACCAGCAGGGTTGGCACTCCACCTTGGGCTTCCTTTCCTGGAGAGCCACTTGAGGGTCCCTCCTGTGACTGGGGCCTCCACAGCGGGAGCTGGAGCATTGCAGAGCCCCTGCCTTGGGGAGCTGGTGGATGTGAGCTGCCCATCTGGGGCTGCCACGTAGGACATGCAAGGTGGTGCCTGGGGCCCCGGCTCCCTCTCAGTGGCCCCTGCCCACCCGGTAACACCCCCTACCAGCTGCAGAGCCCCAGCCGGTGCCAGCCACGCTGGGAGGTCACAGGACAGGCAGCCCCAGGGCTGTGACTTGGTTCTGCATCTACTGTTAGAAGTGAGCGGGAATCTGCAGGCCCGCCAGGGCCACCGGGTCCCAACAGCAAAGGGCTGCACGTTCGCAAACAGCCGTTGCCCCCGTGGCCGTGGTAGGTAATCCATATTGGATGTCATAAGGACCAGGGGGATATTTAAAGAGAGAAACATAAAATATATAGAGATATAAAATTATATTCACAGTTTATCTACAGATTTTTCGTAACAATCTTTGTTTTCCAGTTTGATACTGTAAATCTATCAGCAGAACTGCGGGTGCGGGCACGGTGGGAGTTGGGAGCCCGGAGCCCCAGGCCACCTGCTGTCCCCCTCCGTCTTCCCATGGACCACACCAGGCCACTGGGCCCCGCAGGACAGGCCACAGCAGGTGGCCGGTTCTGTCCTGTTTTGAGGTTCTTGGGATCCACGTCTTGTGGGCTGTGGGCGTTTACCTGCCCTTGGACTGCGGTGCTTTGTCAGAGAGGGGATTCCCTGTCCCCGGCCCCCACGGTGGATGGAGCCCGCCACCATCCAGGGCCAGGCCAGGGAAAGACGGCACGTTCTGCTTTTCCTTCCAGATTGTTGAAATTTCATTGTCATGATTTAATATATGGATTTTTTTATTTAAAAGACGAAGGCCTCTTTGTTGAGTGGGTTTGTTTTCTGTCTCTGTGCCTCCGGCTTCCCAAAGAGATCTAGGTCTTCGAGTTTCCCAGGCGTGGGGACTCCTGCCCCCACCTCCACACCGCCTCACCCTGGCCTCTGTGCTACTGGGCAGATCCATTTCAATATTTATTTTTGTGTTGCTTTTTATCATGATATAAATTATTGAGAACAGATCACATGTGGGCCTGTGTCTGGCCGCTGCCGCCCTGCCTTGTCCCTGCGGCCACCACCTAATTTATTGCCGTGCGTCCTGCTGCTGTGACTGCTTTTGTACCTTTGCAATAAAGAATTTTCTGGTTTCAGACACTTGCGTCGTGTAGTTGGTGCTTTCAGCTGGGGCTTTCTTGGGCCAAGAACCACTCCTCCATCCCAGGAGACCCTGCCTGTCCATCACCAGGGATGGTCAGGGTCAGGATCTGGGCACCACGTGTAAGTGGGTTTCTCAGACTGCCAGCCCCTGACTGTGATGCTGGGACAGCACAGGGGAGGTGCCGGTCAGGTGGCCACGTCCTGGGCCTGGTCTCTGAGGGTCAAGCTGCAGTCCTGAGCATCTCAGTCTGCTGAGCCTCCTGTCCAGGGAGCGTCTCTCTTCCAGTGGAAGGAGCAGAAAGCAGCACAGCGGTCAGTGCCCCACTTCCCCGGGAGACCGCTCACCCAGCTTTGCTGGACTCTCAGTGGAGCCTGCAGGAAGTTCTGAGCCAGACAAAGTCTGTCTGGGAGCAGAGAGCAAAGCCCCCTGCACAGCGGCTGGAAGTCTGTGGACTCCTCGGAAAAGCCAAGGGCCCGCCCAGATGCCATCCCCGCCCTGCCTGGCCTTCCTGGGAGAGCAGCCCCTGCCCACCCGTCCCCATTTTTGGGGCTGAGCCGACTGGGGTCTGAACACCCTCCAGTGCTGGACCACACTGGGTGAAATCCCAACTCAATTTTTTTTGAGACAGGATCTCACTCTGTCACCCAGGCTGGAGTGTGCAGTGGGATGATCACAGCTCACTGCAGCCTCAACCTCCTGGGCTCCAGCAGTCCTCCCATCTCATCCTCCTACGTAGCTGGGACCACTGGCATACACTGCCATGCCCAGCTAATTTTTGTATTTTTTTGTAGAGATGATGTTTTATCATGATGCCCAGGCTGGTCTCAGACTCCTAGGCTCAAGCAATACGCCCACCTTGGCCTCCTCAAGTGCTAAAATTCCAGGCATGAGTCCACTGTTCCCCGTCAAAATCCCAGCTCTCAGTATCCATGTGGCCTGGGGCCAGTCCCCCCCACCCAGCCTTGCTTCCTGCGATTTGGGCGTGGAGGTGAGTGCAGTAGCCGGCACATGGTGCAGTGAGGGTGGAATCTGCTGGGGCTACGGCAGGCAGCCTGAACTTGTCACTAGCAATGGCAGGGATGGCACTTTCCCCAGCTAAATCTGACCTTCCTGTGGCTCTGGGCCCAGCCTGCTCCTCCTGGGGGAGGGACAGATGGGGAAGCTGTGAAAGGAGACACCACCCCGCACGGCCACACAGCCCACACCCAGGACAGGCTGGGGCCCCCAGGGCTTCCAGCCTTTCTTGTGGATTGCTGAGGATTCTCAGCTGGACCATCTCCAGAAGAGGACACTGAGGCTAGGAGGGGCTAGAGAGCTTGGAGGGAGCACCCTGCTAAGACATGTGTCTCCTACCCGCCTCGAGGCCCGCCCTTCTGTTGAGGCCTGTCACTGGGGAACCCCTTTTTCAGCAGTGATGATGACATTGGAACCACACTGTTCTCTGCCCTCCCCGCTTCACATGTGCCCATGCTCCCTCCCAAGGTGGGCGAGCCTGGCCTGGACTGCCTCACGCTGCCTTTATCCACACAGAGTGGGTTTAGCTCTGAGGGCTTTCCTTCGAGCTGTGTTGCAACGCAGCAGAAGCAGCCTCATCTGCAGGGGAGAGGCATCTGTGAGGGGCAGGAGGCAGGGTGAAGAGATGGCCTCTGCGGAGCTGGCTCACTGGTGTCCAAGTCGCTGCTCTGTGACCTCAGCAACTTGCTATACCTCTCTGAGCTCGGTCGCTGTCCTGGCTGGTGTGAGTGCTGAGTGTGTCAGTTTCCCGGCACGGTCTTCTGAGGTGCTGCTGGCATAGGAGCCCAATCCCTGGCCCTCAGCCTCCGCCGCCCGGAGCCCATGCGGTATCTGGGTCTCCAGAAGGGGAGCCCTTGGCCACTCACCCTCCAAACATGAGATTTGGGCAATTCAAGCCCTAAAGGGGTGGCCTTCCCCAGGGCAAGGGCAGAGCAGGCCCAGGGTTCGGCCAGTGTCTCCAGCCTCCAGAAACTGCCCCTTGGCAGCAGTTACCTGGTGAGCACCATGCTCCCACCTGCTGATGGGGTGAGAGACGGTGGCCGCCTGGTGGGCCTCCCCTGCAGAGTTCCAGTAAGGCGAGTGGGGGTCTTTCTAGCCAGGGAGGAGCTCGGCCTCTCATCAGGCAGCCCAGCTGGGCCCTGCAGACCCACTGGCCTTGAGTCCCCACGTCCCCAGCCCAGAAAGCAAGAGTCTGGGAGTGGATCCTCTCTAGCCCGGGCACCACTGGTCTGTTGCCACCCTGCTGAGTCCCTCAGAGACCTGAGACACATTTCCTGCTGTTCCTGGTGGCCATGGGTGGGGGCAGTGTGGGTGGGAGCTGCGGTTCCTGGTTGGTGCCCACTGAGCCTTCCTGTCTGCTGTGCCTGCTGTTCCCTGGCTCTCCATACCCACTGCCTGAGTCCCCCTCCCAGGCTCTGCCCACTTCTGCTGCCCCTGCCCCAGCCCCCACCCAACCTGTGCTTCGGGCCCCAGACACACACAGCTAACTGCTACCTGCAGGCTGGGTCAGAGCCCTGGGCCTGGGGGGGTGCCCCTACAGTGACACCCCTTGCCCTGGTCCAGCCACGTGTCCTAGCAGAAGCCCCTTCGGTCCCTGGGTGGCAGTTGTTCTCGCCGCTGGGATTTCCAAGGCCACTTGGGTGCCTCCAGCTTCCTGAGGGCAGGGCATGTGTCTGAGGCTTGGCTCCTCAAACCCAGGGCCGTGCCTGGCAGTGGAGGAAGAAGAGAAGGGGAGGAGGCAGGCACCTAGGCAGGAGCCCCTGCTGTGCCCCAGATGCTCAGGGCTCTACCCACGTGGCCTCTACTCCCGCTGCAGATGGGGCTGGCATGAGGCCCATTCTGGAGGAAGCAGAAGCTCCCAGGAGAAAGGCGGCAGCTGTTATCCCACAGCCTGATCTCTGCCCTGCACTGCCCTGGGCAACAAGGCTGTCTACCCCAGATGGGTGGGACCCCCTTTCCCGCGTGCAGACTCTGAGCAGTCAGCCTCCTGTGACCATCCCACTGCTGCCTGCTCCCAAGGCTACAGGCCCTGCAGGCACAGAAGCCAAGACTCAGTAGAAAATCCAGGGTGTTTAAATATAAATAAGAGCGATTCTCGCAGCCCTGTGGCACTGGCCAGCCTCACAGGCACCTGGTGGTTCTGTGAACCATCCCAGGCACACCTGGTGGGCGCCTGGCCAGGGCTCCCTGTGGCTGGCATGTGGAGTCACATGGGCCCTTCTCCACGTGCCCACAATGGCCACAGCAGGCTCTGAGGAGGCCCAGCCCCGGCCAGCCTGTGTGGACCCTGCCAGCCTGCAGCACCTGGAGCTGCTGTGTCAGGGCTGGGCTACCCAATGCCCTGGCACCCCTCCCTGCAGCTGCCCAGCCTGGAATCCATCCACTCTCTATCTCCTGAGTCAGGGTGTCTGACCCACTCACAGTTCCCGTGGGGCCCATGTAGCCGAGGCCCTGCAGCCACACTCACTGCCCGCCCTGCAGTGACCCTGAGAACTGATGGCAGGTGATCCCAGGGTGTCCCCAGGCTCTTCCGATTGGCTCAGATGCCCTCTCTTGGGGCGGCTGGCCCATCTGGGTGCCTGGCAGGGCCATTAAGTGCCCTGAACCCTGGGCTGGAGGGAGGATGGGAAGTGGGCTCCGAGGGCCTCACAGGAGGGCTCTCAGGAGAGGCCCCACCTCTGGCAGGAGGGTTGGTGGGTTGGGGGGCCCTGTTCTTCCTAGAGGCCTGGGCAACCTGGGTCCCTAGCTAGGTGCCAGCAGGCCAGACCCCCCTACAGGTCCTCTGAGGGGATCAGCATCCGCTTCTCCAGGCTCTGGCTCTTCCTGCTCCCGCCAGAGCCGCCACCAGGGTGGGTGCCAGGTCGGGGCAGCACCTCGTGCATGGCCTGCTGTGTGTAGTGCTGGTAGGCGGGGGAGAAGTTGTGGATGGCGTCCTGCACGATGTCCTGGGGGCTCACTGTCTCCCTGAGGCCGCTGGAGATGATCTGCATGGGTGCTGGGGGAGCTGGGGGAAGGCAGCATGTGAACCCCACCATCCCCCCTGCACTTTAGCCCCCGGACATGCCCCTCAGCCCTGCCTCCCAGATGCCCAGGACTGGGGCTTCTGCATGTCCAGGTCTGTCATCGGCCAGTGGAGGGTGGCCCCAGACCCCTGGACTCCAGTCCAGCTTCCTCCACCCAGCACCGGGCCTATCCCTGGCCAGACCCCTGGACCCTAGCCCAGCTTCCTCCACCCAGCACCGGGCCTATCCCTGGCCAGACCCCTGGACCCTAGCCCAGCTTCCTCCACCCAGCACCGGGACTGTACCTGGCCAGACCCCTGCCAAGGACCCCTGAGGTTTCAGAGGGGCTCCAAGCAGCGGGGTACACTTTTGGCTGGCCTTGGGTGGGCACCCTGGCCACTCCACAGACTGATGAGAAGCCGGGCAGGCAGGCCACAGGCTGTCCCCACCCTAATGGGGGGCGTGCCTGGCAGAGGATGCCCATCCCCTATCACCATTGGGGTCTGGGACTACCTGGACCCCACACAGCCCAGGTGCCTGTCTGGAGCTGGATGCCCATTGGCTGTCTCCCTGCCCAGTGAGCTGGCATTCCTGGACCTCGAGAATGGTATGGACACAGACCCGGTGCTCCAGCTGGAAGGCAGGGCTGTGTGTTCTGGGTGCCCTGGCTGGAAGGCAGGATGTACCTGGCAAGTTGTCCTTCTTCTCTGCATACACCTCACAGGGGAAGGCATAGCGCAGGGCCACAGAGGCAAAGAGCATCTCCATGCAGATGATGAAGTTTTGGTAGCCAGCGGCCAACGTGCCAGCCCCCAGCCTGTTCCCGCCGATGGTCTCCACCTCTGGGATGACCCCACATCGCTCCAGGATGGCCAGCAGCAGCCCTGCAGATGCCACAGCCACTCAGCCCCAGCCCCCAATGGGGTCTACAGGGGAGGAAGAGGACCCGGGCCCCAAAGCAGCTCCCCAAAGTGCTATGATCCTCTCCGTGTGGTTTCGTCCCGCCCATGGGAGACCGAGGTTCATGGAGCAGGGCACCTCCAAAGTCAGGGATCTCAGCACAGCAGATGCTCAGGAGCCCTCCTGGGCCTGCCCTACTGCTCCAGCCCCTCCCCACTTCCCCTGTACCCACAGGCTTTACCCTGGCTTCCAGCTGATCTGTGCCACAGCTGGGGAAACTGAAGCTCAGGGGGCCTGGGGAAGGGGGCGTGAGATGAATCCCCGGTGGGGGTGTGAGGTGAATCCAGGATGGCGGTGTGAACCCGGGATGGGGGTATGAGGTGAACCCAGGATGGGGGTGTGAACCCAGGATGGGGTGTGAGGTGAACACAGGATGGGGGTGTGAACCTGGGATGGGAGTGTGAAGTGAACCTGGGATGGGGGTGTGAGGTGAACCCTGGATGGGGATGTGAACCCAGGATAGGGGTGTGAACCTGGGATAGGAGTGTGAGGTGAACCCTGGGTGGGGGTGTGAACCCGGGATGAGGGTGTGAGGTGAACCCTGGATGGGGGTGTGAACCCAGGATGGGGGTGTGAACCTGGGATGGGGGTGTGAGGTGAACCCTGGATGGGGGTGTGAGGTGAACCCTGGATGGGGGTGTGAGGTGAACCCAGGAAGGGGGTGTGAACCCAGGATGGGGGTGTGAACCCGGGATGGGGGTGTGAGGTGAACCCTGGATGGGGGTGTGAGGTGAACCCTGGATGGGGGTGTGAACCCAGGATGGGGGTGTGAACCCGGGATGGGGGTGTGAGGTGAACCCTGGATGGGGGTGTGAGGTGAACCCTGGATGGGGGTGTGAACCCAGGATGGGGGTGTGAACCTGGGATGGGGGTGTGAGGTGAACCCTGGATGGGGGTGTGAGGTGAACCCTGGATGGGGGTGTGAGGTGAACCCTGGATGGGGGTGTGAACCCAGGATGGGGGTGTGAACCTGGGATGGGGGTGTGAGGTGAACCCTGGATGGGGGTGTGAGGTGAACCCAGGATGGGGGTGTGAGGTGAACCTGGGATTGGGGGGTGAACCCAGGATGGGGCTGTGAGGTGAACCCGGGGTTGGGGTGTGAACCCAGGATGGGGGTGTGAGGTGAACCTGGGATTGGGGGGTGAACCTGGGATGGGGATGTGAGGTGAACCCGGGGTTGGGGTGTGAACCCAGGATGGGGGTGTGAGGTGAACTTTGCATGGGAGTGTGAACCCAGGATAGGGGTGTGAGGTGAACCTGGGATGGGGATGTGAGGTGAACTTGGGCTCTCTGGACTATAGCCTGGCATACCCCCACCCCAGTCACCCCACACACCCTGCCAGAATGACAGGAAGATGACGGCTTTGATGGTGAGGAACTTGAGGACAGGCTCAAAGGGCCGCAGGAGCTCCCTGGTGGTGAAGTAGAAGAGAAACAGGGCGTAGAGGGCGAGGCTGACGGAGGCGTTGTAGATGAGGGTCACATACAGGTAGCCGCTGCGGACACTGGGCCAGACAGGAGCTGTGGTCAGGATGGCCCCAGGCCCCCACCACCCTCCCTACCCGAGAGCTGCTGCTGCCACACCCTCGGCCTGGCCCCTACCCAGGGTCATGGGCCCTGCAGAGACCCTGGCCCAATCTGATCCTCACTCCAGGGCCTGCAGGAGAGCATGGGGAGCTGGGGGTGGCTGCGGGGCTCTGCAGGGCAGGGCAAGACCACACGGCTGTTCTCCCTACCAGCCCTGCCTCTCCTCATCCCAGGATCCCGTCCTCTGCTCAGGCATCATCCAGGCTGCCTGTCAAAATGCTGCCTCCCAATCCAGTCCACCTGGCCACTACCTGAAGGTCCTCTGTGTGGTGGACACACAGGTGTCGTGCCTGAGTGTGTACCTATGTGTGTGTGTGCATGCATGCCATGTGTGCACGTGACATGAGTGGGGTGCATTGTGAGGTGTGTGGACACATTGCATGCATGTGTGAATGTGCATGTGTGTGCATGTGTGCACGCAGGTGTGAACATAATTGTGCTGTGTGCATGGTTTGCACATGTGCTGTGTGCATGTGTTTGCATGTGTGTGCCTGCATGAATGTATACATATGTGTGTGCACATGTAAAAGCACGTGTGTGCACATGTGTGGTGCTGGTGAGTGTGTGTATGGACCTTGGCAGGGGTCTTTCCTGTGCCAGGTGGCTGCCTGTTTTCCGGCCAACAGGTCGGGGTGGACTTTGGTCCCCTTAGCCCAGATGCCCTAAATGTCAAGGGAGCCCATGGCGGGGTGGGGGCTAGGGCCATCACTGGCTGCCATGAAGCTCTGGGGTCCTCGTTACAGACACTGGCACCGGGTTGAAGCTTCAATCTGGTGCGTCCTTCGAGGGGAGGTCCAGCCCCCTGGTCTTGGCAGTGCTGAGGTCCTTGTGGAGAGGAAGTGGGTGCCTGTCCTGGGGGACCCCTAGCCCGGCTGGACGCCAAGCCCGCCTTGTGGGGCCTCACTTCTGGGCCCCAGGGGACCCCACCCAGTGACCTCCTCTTGCCAGGTGCCCCCAAAGCTCCAGCCTTACTTGAAGTCCCCATCGTGGTATTTGCCGAATGCCTGGAGGATGATGGTGGTGATGGCCATGATGGGCTTCACCAGGCAGAACTGCAGAGTGGCCTAGGGGTGAGGGCATCTCATTGGCATGGGGCAGGTCCCCCCCGGAGCCCAGGAATGGGGGATGGGGCAGGCAGCAGTGAGCAGCCCCTCGACACTGGGTGGGGTGGCACTGGGTTGGCTAAGTCCAGAAGGGCTAGGGTGGGAGGAGGGGGGGCAGGGCCAGGTGGGAGGGGGGACAGGGCCAGATGGGAGGGGGGGCAGGGCCGGGTGGGAGGAGAGCAGGCAGGGCCAGTTGGAAGGAGGGCGGGCAGGGCCAGGTGGGTCCCCTCACCTGCTTGCAGAAGCGCAGGAACCCAATGGAGTAGGTCATGCCCCGGAGGCAGCAGGTGCCGTAGAAGCAGCTGGACCTGCGGCGGGATGTCCGTGAGCTGGCGCGGAAGAAGGGCCCCAGTGCTGCCCCGGCTCCCTGTCCTGGGTGTGTGTGGTGTGGGGGACTGGGGTAAGGGGCTTACTTGATGGGCTTCCCACGGATCTCAGCCATGATGGCACTCTCTCCTCCCAGGTACTGGAAACACAGGCTCAGGAAGCTGTAAATGACAAAGGCTGCAGGGAACACAGAGGGGAACCAGTCATGAGCCCTGAGCTGCACCGGGACCCCATGGCACCCATTGCACCAGGACACGAGGACGCTCAGGAGGGGCGGGGCCTGGCAGGCCACACAGCAAGAGGTTCCCTGAAGGGCCCCATCTCCAGCAGGGCGCCCGAGAGGGTCAGGGTGCTCTGTCAGGGCCCCTCCAGGCCAGGGCAGGTCCACCAAGCCCCTTTCCCGGAGGCTGTGGGGTCGTGTGTTCCAGGCCTGCCAGTGCTGCTAACCCCGACCATTGTAGCAGCCCCTCCAACAGGGACCAGGTGAGTGGGGTGCTCCTGGGGGCTGGCCCTGGGGAGTCTCTCCCTCCGCTCCCCCCAACCTGATGAAGCCCAGGGCTCACCTTCATAGCAGTCTCGCACGGAGTCAAAGTAGACGTAATACTGGTGGTCTCCCAGGAGGAGAAGGCTGAGCCAGGAGTCAAAGGCATAGATGGGCACGATGAGGAGCAGGCGAATGACATAGCGCTGCTCCTGCGGCACAGTGTAGGAGCGCAGGTGCAGGTAGATCTGAGAACAGCAGGAGGGTATGGGTGAGAGCCAGGCCCTCCCGGCATCCCTGCACCAGCCCAGGAAGGAGGTGTGGGTGGGTGCAAGAGGGTTTGGGTGACAGTCGGGCCCACCTGGTAACCCCACACCAGACCAGGTGAGCCAGGAAGGAGGTGGGGATGGGTGGGCACAGGCCACCAGGCACCTTCTATGTTCCTGCATTTTCTAGTTTTCTACAACGGGCATGCTTTTCACTATTAGAAATTTTTTTTTCCTATTGTAATCAGATACATATTTTTATACACATTTACTATAGAAGTACATATAAGTATCAATGTATAAGTATATATTAAATACATATTTCTGGTTACAACTAAAAATAATACACATTGAAAAATTTACTTTTTATGGTTGGGCACCCTGGTTCATACCTGTAATCCCAGCACTTTGGGAGGCTGAGGCGGGTGGATTATTTGAGGTCAGGAGTTCAAGACCAGCCTGGCCAACATGGTGAAACACCGTCTCTACTAAAAATACAAAAGTTAGCTGGGCGTGGCGGTGCATCACTGTAATCCCAGCTACTTGAGAGGCTGAGGCGGGAGAATCGCTTGAACCCGGGAGGCAGAGGTTACAGTGAGCCAAGATTGTGCCACTGCACTCCAGTGTGGTGACAGAGCGAGACTCCATCTAATAAAACAAAACAAACAAAAAACCATGTTTCTCAAAAATCTTTTTTTAATTTAAATTACTGTTTTGAGACAGGGTCTCACTCTGTTGCCCAGACTGGAGTGCAGTGGGGCAATCTTGGTTCACCACAACCTCCGCCTCCAGGGTTCAAGCGATTCTCCTGCCTCAGCCTCTCGAGTAGCTGGGGTTACAGGGATGCGCCACCATGCCCAGCTAAATTTTGTATTTTTAGTTGAGACAGGGTTTCACTAAGTTGGTCAGGCTGGTCTTGAACTACTGAACTCATGATCCGCCCACCTTGGCCTCCCAAAGTGCTGGGATTACAGGGGTGAACCACCTCGCCCAGCTAAAATTTATTTTTTAAATTGGCAAATCAAATCGTATGCACTTACAGAGTGCAGTGTGATGTCTGGTATGTGTGTTCCTGGGAAAGCGCTGAGTCAAACCCAGTAACATCTCCATTATCTCCCATACTTAGCATTTCTTTGCAGGGAGGACACGGAAAATGTCCTCTCTTAGCCATTTTCAAGCATAGAAAACGTTGTTGTTTATAATAGTCACGGTGTTGTACTATAGATCCTCTTTTTCTGGATAACCTCCTTGGTCATGAGCGAGGGTCCTGTTTGTTCCTAAGCTGGCCACAGGAATGCTCACTCATTGCTTCATTCAGCAGGAGTTTCCAGAGCCTAGTCCAGCTAAGTGTCCAACCCGGGGGACAGAGGGGACATGTCCTGGCCCTGGGCTGGGCAGACTCTCAGAAGGTAGGTTGGCTTTTGCTGTGGAGGCATCCAAAGGACTTGTTCACACACTCCCCCACTGGTGACTGGGAGGGGTGGCATGACCAGCCAGAAGGAGACCTCTCCTGGGGCTGGTGCTGCCTGGCTGGGTGACCTTGACCAACTGCTGTCCTCTCTAGCCTCCGTCCTCCCAGGTATAAAGTGGGGGGTCTAGCCACTCCCAGTCCTGCCTGAGACTCCTCACTCAAGGGTGGTCTGGCGGTGGGTTCAGGGGTGGGACAGGGCCTGAACTGCAGCCCAAGGGGTCTTCATAAGCCCTTTGATTCCTAAGAATTTGTCCTTGGCCAGGCGCCGTGGCTCATGCTTGTAATCCCAGCACTTCGGGAGGCTGAGGTGGGCAGATCACCTGAGGTTGGGAGTTCCAGGCCAGCCCTATCAACATGGAAAAACCCCATCTCTACTAAAAACACAAAATTAGCCCAGTGTGTTAGCACATGTGTGTGATCCCAGCTACTCGGGAGGCTTAGGCAGGAGAATTGCTTGAATCTGGGAGGGGGAGGTTGTGGTGAGCCAAGATCTCGCTATTGCACTCCAGCCTGGGCAACAAGAGTGAAATTCCCTCTCAAAAAAAAAAAAAAGAATTTGTCCCTAGGGGCTGGGCACATGGCTCATACCTGTAATCCTAGCACTTTGGGAGGCCGAGGTGGGTGGATTGCCTGAGCTTAGGAGTTCGAGACCAGCCTGGCCAACAGGGAAAACCCCATCTCTACTAAAAAATAAAAAAATTAGCCAGGCGTGGTGGCACACCCTTGTAATCCCAGCTGCTCGGAAGGCTGAGGCACAAGAATTGCTTGAACCTGAGAGGTGGAGGTTTCGGTGAGCCGAGGTCCTGCCACTGGACTCCAGCCTGGGTGACAGAGTCAGACTCTGTGTCAACAACAAAACAAAACAAAACATAAAAAGAATTTTATTGTTCCCTAGCAACAAATATATTCAGAAACAAAGAAGGAGGTTTCTATACAAAGACATAGTCATACCCCACATGGTGGGACAGGCTGGTCACATCCTGGTGCAATGGTGCAAAGAGCTGTTATGCCACCAGTGAAAACCATGCTAAAAAATACACCTACAGAGGCTCACGCCTGTAACCCCAGCACTTTGGGAGGCCAATGCGGGCAGATCACTTGAGGCCAGGAGTTCAAGACCAGCCTGGCCAACATGGTGAAACCCCATCTCTACTAAAAGTATAAAATGTTGCCCAGTATGGTGGTGTGTGCCTGTAACCCGAGCTACTCGGGAGGCTGAGGCAGGAGAATCCCTTGAACCTGAGAGGCAGACGCTGCAGTGAGCCAAGATCACACCACTGCACTCCAGCCTGGGAGACAGTGAGACTCTGTCTAAAAAAAAAAAAACACCTATAGCCAGGGCAACATAGTGAGCCCTCGTCTCTAGAAAAAACTTGAGTCTTTGTGTATCTTTGGATATACCGTTAGGTTTTGGCTGTATCTTTTGATTTGGGGATTTAGTCGATTTAAATTTAGGGTTACTGCCATTTGATGTTAACTGGCTATTTTATCCATTCGTTGATGTAAATTCTTCTTTATGTTGATGCTCTTTACTTATTGGTATATTTTTAGAAAGGCTCATACTGGTTGTTCCTTTCTATGTATAATACTTCTTTCAGAAGTTCTTGTAAAGCAGGCCTGGTGGTAATAAAATCTGAGTACTTGCTTGTTCATAAAAGATTTTATTTTTCCTTCAATTGTGAAGCTTAGTTTGGCAGGATATGAAATTCTAGGCTGAAAGTTCTGTTCTTTAAGTATGTTGAATATTGGCCCCCACTCTCTTCTGGCTTGTAGGGTTTCTGCTGAGAGATCTGCTGTAAGTCTAATAGGCTTCCCTTTATGGGTAACCTGGCCTTTCTCTCTGGCTGCCCTTAGTATTTTCTCCTTCGTTTCGATCCTGGTGAATCTAACGATTATGTGCCTTGGGGTTGCTCCTCTTGAGGAATATCTTTGTGGTGTTCTCTGTATTACCTGGGGTTGAATAGTGTCCTGATTTGCTAGGTTGGGAAAATTTTCCTGGATAATATCCTGAAAAGTATTTTCCAGCTTGGATTCATTCTCTCCATCACATTCAGGTACACCAATCAAACGTAGATTGGGTCTTTTCAAAACAAAGTGTTGGAGAAAAATTTACCAACTAAATGGAGAGCAAAAATAAATAAATAAACAAAAAGCAGGAGTTGCAATTCTCACATTTGATAAAATAGATTTCAAAGCAACAAAGATACAGTGGTAAAAGGATCAATGCAACAATAAGAGAGATCTTAATACCCAGATACATAAGACCCATAACGAGATTTAGACTCAACGAGACAGAAAATTAATAAGGATATCCAGGACTTCAACTCAGATCCAGAACAAGTAAACTCAATAAATATTTATAGAGTTTTCCATTTTAAATACACAAAATATTGATCGGCCATTATTAATACCCATTTTTAGAATGAAGCAATATTCCTGTTCTCTCTCCCTCTTTTTCTTCCTCTTTTCTCCTCTCCTTCTCTCCTTTTTTTACTTTTCAACACCCTAGTTCCTCACCTCTACTCAATACATTCCTCTGAACACCTGATTCCTTGTGATTCTCCCGTCCCACTGAAACCTCCAAAAAAAAAAAAAAAAAAAGAAATATGTACAGCTACTGTAAAAAAAAAAAAAAAGAAAAGAAAAAATTTAAAAATTAGCCAGGTGCAGTGGCTCACACCTGTAATCCCAGCAGTTTGGGAGGCTGAGGTGGGAGGACTGCTTGACCCCAGGAGTTTGAGATCAGCTTGGGCCACAGAGTGAGTTGCCATCTCTACAAAAGATCAAATAATAAAAACTAGCCAGGTGTGGTGGTGAGCATCTGTAGTCCCAGCTACTTGAGAGGCTGAGGTGGGAGGATTGCTTGAGCCCAGGAGTTCTGGGCTGTAGTGCGCTATGCCGATCGGGTGTCCACACTAAGTTCGGCATCAATATGGTGACCTCCCAGGAGCGGGGGACCACCAGGTTGCCTGGTGGGTGAACCGGCCCAGGTCGAAAACAGAGCAGGTCAAAACTCCCATACTAATTAGTAGTGGGATCACGCCTGTGAATGGCCACGGCACTCCAGCCTGGGCAACATAGCAAGTCCCCATCTCTTTAAAAAAGAAATAAAAATTTTTAAAGTTAAATAAATGTAAAAAACATTAAAAAAGAAAAAAAAATACACCTGTGTAAGGAAATGTTGTGATACAATGCAGCATTTAAAAATTAAGATGATAAAGTAGGATCTCAAATTATGTTAAAAATACCTGGTAGGCCGGGCATGGTGGCTCACACCTGTAATCCCAGCACTTTGGTAGACCGAGGCAGGAGGATTGCTTGAGCCCAGGAGTTTGAGACCAGCCTGGGCAACATAAGGAGACCCCATTTCTACAAAAATAAATAAATACAAATTTTAAAAATACAAAAAGTAACCAGGCATGGTGATATGCACCTGTAGTCCCAGCTACTCAGGAGGCTGAGTTGGGAGGATGGCTTGAACCCAGGAGATGGAGGCTGCAGTGAGAAATGATTGTGCCACTGTACTCCAGCATGGGCGACAGAGCGAGACCTTGCCTTAAAAGAAAAAAAGCCTGGGAAAAAATGTGGGGGATTATAGTGTTCGCCTTTAAACCTTTCTAGACTTTCCATGTTTTCTTTTTTTTTTTTTTAATTAAGATGGAGTCTTGCTCTGTTGCACCTGCTGGAGTACAGTGGCACAATTTCAGCTCACTGCAACCTCTGTCTCTCAAGTTCTAGTGAAAACTTGCCTCAGCCTCCCGAGTAGCTGGGATTACAGGCGTGTGCTACCATATTCAGCTAATTTTGTATTTTTACAGGGTTTCCCCATGTTGGCCAGGCTGGTCTTGAACTCCTGACCTCAGGTGATCCACCCGCCTCAGCCTCCCACAGTGCTAGGATTACAGGCGTAAGCCACCTCACCTGGCCGATTTTCCATGTTTTCCGTGAGGACACAACATAATCACAGGGTCTTTGAGAGGCAGCCGAGCCTGGGAGCTGGGCGCATGGGAGCTCATGGGGAAGGCTTCTTGGAGGAGGTGCCAGGAGTGGCAGCGGCGGGAGAGCAGAGGCTATGTGCACCTGGCTGCTTGGGGTGCAGCTCAGGAAGTTGGGGGAGGCTGGCGGCAGGAACAGACTCTTATCAGTCACACACTCCCCCACTGGTGCCTGGGAGGGACGGCATGACCAGCCAGCAGGAGACCTCTCCCAGGGCTGGCACTGCATGGCTGGGTGACCTTGACCAGCTGCTGCCTTCTCTGGCCTCAGTCCTCCCAGGTAAAAAGTGAGGGGGTCTAGCCACTCTCTGTCCTGCCTGAGACTCCTCATTCAAGGGTGGTCTGGTGGTGGGCTCAGGGGTGGGACAGGGCCTGAACTCCAGCCCAAGGGGGGATCTTCACAAGCCCTGTCTGGACTGCAAGCCCCCATGATGCTGAAGCCAGGCTATAGCCACACATACACAGCCAGTTTCCAAAATTACAGTGCAAAGATAGCCTCCTCCGGGAAGCCCTCCCTGATGGTCTTACAGGAAGGGCCTGCCTCCATACCACCTCCCTGACTGCACACTCCAGGCCCAAGCTCATACACATCTACCTTGGGTTATCTAGTCACAGCTCACTGCAGCCTCGAACTCCCGGGCTCAAGCAATCCTCCCACCTCAGCCTCCCAAGTAGCTGGGATGACTGGTGCAGGCCCCACGACCGGCTAATAAACAGCTCATAAATTGTACCTAAGATGCTGCCTTGGAGGCTCGTGCCCATGTCCCTGCCAGCCAGTCTCCTGGTAGGCCGGGTGCAATGGCTCCTGCCTGTAATCCCACCACTTTGGTAGACTGAGGCAGGAGGATGGATTGAGCCCAGGAGTTTCCTGATGGCCCCCAGCCCGGCTCACCTATGGATCCATTCCCTATGCCAGTGGCACGCAGGGAGCAGCTCTGCTCTCAGCCAAGCTCTCTGCAGCCTTCCTGGGCTCCCAGTGCCGCCTGAAAGCCGCCTCTCCACAGTGGGGTCAAGGGCTCTGGACAAACCCCTGCCCCCGCCGCACACTGCCCCGGCCTCTCTTCGTAACCGAGGCTCTCGAGCTGGTCCCATCCCTGACCCCTTGCCCTCTCTGCCCAGCCCCTGCCCTTGGCCATCACTTCCTCCTTGCCTCTGCCTGGCCCTTCCTTGCCACAGTGCCTGGCTGCTTCTCTACCTGGGGACTACTCTGGGTGGGGGGCTGTGTGCAGCTGAGGGCTTGGGGAAGTTGCTTCTTGCCCGTCTCTCTCACAGGAGTCCTGGTCCCTCTAGCCAAGCTGCAACCTTTGCTCCCTAGCTCTCTACGGAGCAAAGTTCAACCCCCTGCCAACCCCCCCACCAGCCTTCTCCAGGGTGCCACACCTCTGGAGGGAGAAGGCCCTTTCCCCTTTCCAGATACATGAGCCTGGGAAAGACCTCTGGTCTCTCTGAGACTCAGTCTTCTTGTCTGTGAAATGGGACCACACCGCTGACCTCAGTGAGCTGGGTGAGGAGCCTGAGAAATAGCTGGGGTTGCCTGGTGGGCACTCTGTACTCAGCCTGGCATAATTCCCCATTTTCAGGCCCAGCTCCCACATGCCACATCTTGGGGAAAGCCCGGCCCCTCCCCCTGTGCCCTGGCCCGATGCCACTTCTGACAGCCTCTGTAGCAGGAGGACCCAGGGGGGGCCAGTTGAGCCACAGCCACATCCCTTGGAGACTGGGGTCCTGAAGGAGGCTGGGGGCAGGAGGGCTTACCTGGTGGCAGGTGAGGACCAGGGCAGTCCACACGAAGATGCCTGAGACTCCTCGGGCCAGCGAGGAGGTGAGGAAGAGCCAGGGGGCCCGCTGGGAGCCATTCCCCATGTGGTCCATCTGCAGCCCAGCTGGCACGGACGGCAGGAGGCAGGGCTGTGGCCAGGTTGCTGACACCAGGGGGACGTCAGCTGTCCCCAGGATCCCTGAGACATTACTCATCTGAGGAGGGAGGGAGTGAGGGCAAAGGTGCTGGTGTCCGGCAGCAGGAAGCAGCTGGGGAGGGACGGGACAGTGAGATGGGCGCCGAGGCTGAGCCACCCACCAGGCCACGCCCCCACACACATGGACAAGGCCCAGGTCCCTCCCTGCCCTGAGCTCAGGTACCCAGGCTCACCCACCAGCCACCTGCAACCTGGGGGCCCTACCTGGATTCCCCCTTGTAAAACCGGCTTCCACCTTGGAGTTGCAGGCTTGCAGGGAGCCTGCTTCTGAGGGGACAAAGACTGTCTTCCAGTGGGGCAGAGGAGGGGGAACCCCTGCCATCCTGCCTGCCTGGGAGCTCTGGTGAGTGGGCACAGGCCAGCACTACCTGCCCCAGCAGGAGGGAGTGTGCAGCCACCCATGGAGGAGCGGCCCTCACCAGCTCCCCAGGACCTGCCTGCCCGCCTGGGAGCCCAGCTTTGCTAGTGTTCTTGGCAGACCCAGGCGCCTGCTCTTCCCACTAACCTACTGGGGGTCTGGGTCCACCCCCTCCCACACTCGAAGTCCAGTCTCCTCCTCTCCCTCTGGCCTGCAGTCATAGGACCCAGCTCTACCTCTGCTGGCAGGAAGCACCTGGCCCAGTCTGGAGAGGTCCAGCCTCCAGGGAAGCCTGGCTGGTCATTCTCGTGGCCACGTGGCCTTCACTGGCGGCCCCATAGTGGGCGGGGCAAGGCTGGGATCTGAAGGGCTGTGCCAGGCGGGGATGGGGCGGGACGGCCAGCACCTTATGTCCCCAGTGGCCCACCTGAGCCCAAGGCTGCAGGCCCGTCCCCTCCCATGGCTGACACTCTATCCTCCCGGCTGTTTGCTGGGTGGCAGCTGGCTCCCAGGAACCTGATGGCTGCCAGGTGCCCTCACCTGCCTATGTCAGATGGCCAGGCAGCTGCCACCCAGCAGGGGCAGGTGGGAGAGGTCTGCAGTGGGCCGAGGAGGGCCAGGCTGTGGGAAGAAGGCTGGAGAGCTAATGGTACAGGGATTCTCTGGGGCATGACGGGGGTCCTGAAACAACGTAGAAGCAGGCACACAGCACTGCAGATGCACTCACTGCCAATGAGCTGTTCACTTAAACATTGATGTTATATGGATTTCACCTGAATAAAAAATAAATCCATGCCCCAAGAGGTGTGTTGAAACATTTGTTTTCTGGGTGGGATGTGGTGGCTCACGCCTGTCATCCCGGCACTTGGGGAGGCCAAGGCAGGTGGATCACTTGACGTCAGGAGTTTGAGACCAGTCTGGTCAACATGGTGAAACCCCATTTCTACTAAAAATATAAAAATTAGCCAGGGTGGTGGCAACTCCTATAATCCCAGCTACTTAAGAGGCTGAGGCAGGAGAATTACTTGAACTAAGGAGGCACAGGTTGCAGTGAGCTGAGATTGAGCCACTGCACTCCAGCCTAGGCGACCGAGGGAGACTCTGTCTCAAAAAAAAAAAAAAAAAAAAAAAAGAAATATTTCTGGTTTTTGTGGGTCAAGGCAGGAGGCAGGGAGTAACAGCCAGGTCCCTGACCCTTTGAGGTCTGGCAAGGTGTTGGGGGGCCCTGAGGGTCCCTGTCATCTCCATGCAGAGAACCCACCCTGGCTCCTGCGAGAGGGACATGGTCCCTCAGCCCACCTCTTGGCCTGTTCTGGTTACGCTTGGGCTCATGCCACCGGGGCCACCATTACCAAGTCCCACTCTGTGCTGGTAGCGGGTCCACACATTCCTTGTCCTTCATGCCTCCAACCCTCCCACAGCCCTGGGTAATGGGGGTCGAGGCTGGAATGACTGGAGCCACTGTTCCTCTTTTATCTTTATTTATTTATTTATTTTGAGATGGAGTCTTGCTCTGTCACTGGGCAGTGGCACAATCCCGGCTCACTACAACCTCTGCCAACTGGGCTCAAGTGATTCTCCTGCCTCAGCCTCCCGAGTAGCTGGGACTACACACAGCCACTACCACACCTGGCTAATTTTTGAATTTTTAATAGAGACGGAGTTTCACCATGTTGGCCAGGCTGGTCTCGAACTACCGACCTCAGGTGATCCCCCTGCCATGGCCTCCCAAAGTGCTGGAATTACAGGCGTGAGCCACTGTGCCCGGCCTGTTCCCCTTTTAGAGATGGGAATGAGGGACACATCACAGGGGACACCCTGGCTGTTCTCCCCAACCCCTCCACCCACACTGTCCTTCCAGGGAGCCTCCCAGGTGGGGGACAAGCTCAGGAAGTCGTGCCCAGCTCTCAGCCCTGCCTTGCTGAACCTCCCCATCAGCGCCTGCCCGGCCCAAAGCCACCAAGTGCACACCCTGGCTCAGCCCTCCCAGAGCGTGCCTGCTCCCCAGGCCAGGACCTTCTGGAACAGCCAACCCTGCTCCCGGGTGACTCTGTCCTGTAGCCTCGGGTATCACTTTTAGAGAGAAAGTCCCCGCTGTCCCAGCACCCTCCTCACTCATGTGCTATCCCTGTGCACCTGTCTGTGTTTGCTGCTGGCCCTCTCTTGGCAGGAGCTACCAGAGCCTGGAGCTGTGTCCTGTCCATGCTTGGGACACGGGGGTAGGGGGTGTCTGTCCTGCTGACACGGTGGCCCTGGCCTAAGGTCTCCCTTTGGCCAGGCAGGGGTGCTGGAAGGCAGTCACCAACTTCCATTCGGCTGCATTTCAGCTGCAGCTGCAGGTACTCTTCCCCCTGCCTCTCTACCTGCCCCCTAGAGTCCTAGGCAGACGGCTCAGCTCGTGCAGATGTCGCCCTCTGGCTGTGAGTGTTGGGATCACATCACAATTACAAAGTGATGATGGCTGGGGGCTTTGAAGGGTGAAAACTTTGTTGCCTGGGCTTGCACAGCGCTGGAAGGGACCAGGATTCACCTCATCCAGGTGGCTCATGCTACAGGCAGGGAAACTGAGGCCCCAGTCCCTGCTTGATTTGCTTCCAGCCCCAAGCACAAGATGAAGCTTCAGGCCCCTCCCTCGGCTGGCAGTGGGAATGGCTGAGTGGATGGCAGGAAGCACTGTGGTTAGATGTCAGCAGGACATCTCTGGCTGGAGCCACCAGGGCCAGGCTTCCAGAAGGGCTCCGGCTTCGGGGAGGCTCAGGGTCTGGGCCCCGGACACAGATTGAGGGAAGTCCAAAGCTCTGCCTTCTGCCAGAGGTAGATCTTCGGTGGGAAGAGGTGGGGCATTCTCAGAGGGCCAGCTGGTCCCTTTATAGGGCAGGGATGTCTGCTGATCTCCTCAGCCCACAGCTGTGCCAGGGGGGAGTGTGGGTGAAGGGTCTTTGGTGTCAGCCTGAGCTGGTTCGTGGCCCCTGAGAGTCCCTGACCCTTAGAAGCCCCCTTCAGTCAGGGATGCCCCCTGCCCTGATGGTGGGGGGCAGGTCCAGCATTGCCTCTGAGTTGTTCTCATAGTTGTCCTACCCTGGCATGTTCTTGTTCAGCCAGTGCCTTTAGGAAACTGTCCCAAGAGCCTTGGCTCTGGCCCCTAAGCCCAGAACTCAAGGTCCTCTTGCACATTCGAGGCAATAACTTTGCCTCATCAGGCAGCTTTGGCTGTATCCCCTCTCCCCAACACTGGGCCTTGCAGGCCTTTAATAAACCTAAGGCTCTGAAAAGAGAGGAGGCCTCTGCCATCTCCACCCAGGCTTCCTTCACAGCTTTCTGACCATGCCAGTCTCAGAAGCAGCCTCAGCCCTTGGCCCTTTGTCTTGCCCATGGCCTTGGCAACCTTGGCAGGCACCTTTGCCTCTCTGGATTTGCTCCAAGTCCTGGCCAAAGCAGGATTTGATCACTGCTGGCCTGCCCGTCCATCTTCTGGGCCACCCTCCCCACCTGGCCAGCCTCTGGACCCACCCTGGCTGTCCCCACCCCAGCTCTGTCTCCATCACCTGCCCGCCCTCCCCACCCAGCCTGCCTTTGTCCCCACCCCTGCTGTCTCTCCCACCTGGCTCTGTCTCCATCACATCTGCCTCTTTTGTCCCCATATCCAGGCAGACCCAGGGACTACCAGGTTTTCTACCAAATCCCTGCCCAAGGTGCCCGATCATTCAGCAAAGTGAACACTCAGGGCTCTTAAGTGTGAACTCCAGCCCTGCCATTCCCCCATGTGCACATCTTAGCCTCCATGTCTCTACCTGGAACATGGGAGCAGGGATGCCTGCCCTGAGAGGGTGCTGAGTGGACGCAGTGAGACCCACGACTTGTGCATACCATGCTGAATGGCCCCTGGCTTCCCTCTCTCACCTACCCAGTGACTGCCTGCCTGGCCATGTGAGTTCCCCCATTCCTGAACTGCCCTCACCTCTCTGGCTCTCAGCTGGTTCTGGCCCTGCCAGTGTCTGTGAGCAGCTCCAGAGTCTCCCCAGCGGGTTCCAAGGCTCTGTGAGCGCTGCACTGCCCCGCCCAGGCCCAGCCCATTCTGGGCACGCTGAGGGACACCCTGGGTGGGAAAGGATCTGACGGAGCAGCCAGTCTCCTCCCTCCTCCCCAGGGAGGATCTGGCTCCAAGTCCCACAGGGAGTTTGTGGGGGACCTCGTCCCCAGGGTGGGGCAGTCTGTCACCTGCTCCTGGGACTCAAAGGCTGATGGAGGCCTCATCCAGCGCTGGTGTCACAGCCTGTGCCCAGTCACAAGAGGCGGCAGAGTTGGCTGGGCCTAATTTTCTTGGCGGGGGCCGGACGCTGACCAAGCCCATCGAAGGACAGACCTAGCTGCCCAGATCCGGGCGTCAGGGCCCTCTGACCCCTGTTCACTGTGTCCAGGTGCCTGGAGCTGAGAAGCCACCCAGCCAGTCCCACATCCTGGTCCTGGCACAGCCACCTCCTACCCTCGTGAGAAGCCTGGCTTCAGGCCCATGCACCGCTGCCCGGTTCCAGGCTGGCTGCCCTGCTGGTGCTCACCCCAACCCCCTGCCCACCCACCTCTCTGCAGACACAGGGTGCGCTATACCCCTGCCTCCTTTGCTGCTGGGTGGAACTTGGGGTGCCCAGGAGTCATATCCTCAGAATTGGCTCATTCAGTGTCCCAGGCCAAGCTACACCCCAGGAGGGTGAGGTGACCAGTGGGCATGCATCCCTGACACCTAACTTCCCAGTCCCACCCCACCCCGTCCTGCAGCACTCCCCTGGGGGCCCTGGCCGGCACTTCACTAAGGCAGCAGCCCTGGGGTGAGAGCAGGGGGTGACAGGGACAGGTCTCCCTGTCGGCCAGGCCCTGGTGCTCAGGACATGGAGTCACAAAGAGAGGCCTCTCTTCCCTCCAGCATGATCATGGAAGGCCTGGAGGAGTCCAGCCCAGCCACCCGCCATGCCAGGGACCTGGGTGCCATGTCTGCCTCCTCCTTTGGTTTTGGGATTCCCCTGGCTCCTGTCCACGAGCATGCCCTCCGGAGAACCGAGTGGGGTGGGCAGGCAGTGTGGCCTCCTGGGGTCCACATACCCCTTCTCACTAGGGCTGGGGAACGGCCCCTACAGCTGAGAGCAGGCCCTGGGCAACACCAAGAGCTGGGGCCGGCTCTGGCTATGCACGGTGTCTGTGACCTCAGGCAGAGCCTGTGCCAGCCTGTGCCTGTCTCCACTAGCAAAAGCTGTGCGGCAGGTCAGGGCAGCTGGGCTGGGGCCTCAGGTTGGTCTCCTGTCATCTGCTCTTCTAGGGATGCAGGCTGCTGCATGGGAGAGCCAGCCTGGCCAGGCCCTGGGACTCAGCTCCACTGTCTCAGCTGGCCTGGTGATCTGGCAGCCAGGTGCAGTGTGGAGGGCCCCTGCCTCAGCTTCTGACCCTCAAGCAATTTCGCCTGCCTGAGCCCGTCAGCCCCAGA